TCCACTCTGACCGGCGGTGCAGTGCTCGGCGGGGGGTGTTCGGCAGTGCGGCGCTCCGCGGGGAGGGGTTCAGCAGCGCGGCGCTCGGTGGGGGGTGTTCGGCGGCGCTTCGCGCGGGGGGTTTTCCGGCAGCGCGGTGCTCGGTGGGGGATGTTCGGCAGCACGGCGCTCAGGGATGTTCGTCAGCGCGGCGCTCGGCGGGGGTGTTCGTCAGCGCAGCGCTCGGCGGGGGTGTTCGGCAGTATGGCGCTCGGGGATGTTCGTCAGCGCGGCGCTCGGCGGGGGTGTTCGTCAGCGCGGCGCTCGACGGGGGTGTTCGTCAGCGCGGCGCTCGACGGGGGGTGTTTGGCAGCGCGGCACTCGGCGGGGTGGGGTTTTGGCGGCGCAGCACTTGGCGGGGGGTGTTTCAGCGGCGCAGGGCTGTGCTGGGGGAGGGGGTATGGCGGGGCGGCGCTTTTTTTTGCTGCTTGGTGTGGCAAAAAAGTTAGAGCCGGTCCTGGTATTTCCCGTACACTAGCTCCCAAAGGCCTTGATTCAGCAAGTCACTTAAACATATGCTTAAAGTTACATACTTTGTTGAGTTGGGGCCAAAGCTCGCAACAGTTTGCAGTCCCCTTCAGAGCTCATCTAGATGTCTCCTAGGTGGGGGAGCTCTGCCAGCCATGTGACATGCTGCTAGTGCCCCACCAGGGGAACACTGCCTGCTGCCTCCACAGCATTTCCAGCCTGCACAAACTCCTGAAACCGGTGACTGAAGGCGTGCAGGAGAGTCTGCCATACTATAGAGAAGAGAACTAGCCACAAGGCTGCAAAGCTGTATTCTGTATGAAAACTGGCATGGTTATTGGCTCTATAGCTCATCACTCCCAGGTTACAGCTCTCCGCACCGCAAAGATGGATATTTTATGGCAGTGGTTCTCAAACTTTTGTACTGGTGACCCATTTCATATAGCAAGCCTCTGAGTGTGACCCCTCCTTATAAATTAAAAACACATTTTTATATATTTAACACCATTATAAAATGCTGGAGGAAAAGCGAGGTTTGAGCTGGAGGCTGACAGCTCGCAATCTCCCATGTAATAACCTCATTACCCCCTGAGGGGTCCTGACCCCCAGTTTGAGAACCCCTGTTTTATTGTTTTACTTTGTTGTTTCCTCCTTCTCTCCTGCTTTTTTTTTAAGGCTATTAAACACAGTATCACAAAATAATGTTATAACACTTACTTTCTGACAACCAACACAAGCAAGAAAATTCACAGACAAGTGGAAACTACCAAAATCAAATCTCCTGGTTGAGGGTGCAATCACTGACAGCAGGGGTCAGGGAGGATGGTCTTTCCCTATGTTCAGCACTGCACAATCAGCTAGCGTTAGGGGGAGAGGAAATGTTATTTCTCTTAAGCAGTAAGTAGTGACTCTAGTAGAGGCAGCAGACTGAACTTGATGGGCCAATGGTCTGATCCAGGATAGCAAATCTATGTCTCCTAAATTTCCCAATCCAGTCTAGGCCTTGTAGCACATAAAGGGAAAATTTCTCTTCTTGGATCTACCATATTCTGCCTTCATTGTGTGGCTGGAATGTCCAACTTAGGTCAATAGGAATTTTACCATGTAATGAGCGCAGATATGCATTGTGGACAACAGAGCCACACCATAGATTCAAGAAGAGAATTCTGGCCATCGTGTATCTTTTTCATATCCATGCAGTAAAAAAGCACACAAGCATGAGAACCTTCATATTATTAAAAGGTCTTTTTCTATCGTGTTGTTAAGTATACAGTGATGTGGGTGTATCTCTTCTTCCAGCAATACTGGCTTGATCATGTTGTCTTAATCAGGCAACAGTCCCGCTTATGTCAATGGGGAGAGTTTCTCCAGATAGCATTTGTATCTAAAGTCCAGAACACTCTGTGTATATTCACAGTCTGCAAATTCTAGCCAGATCAAGAATGATCACTAATAACCAGTCCAGTGGTCATCAACTGGACGTTAGAGAGGGGTCCAAGTCTCAGAGTTTGATTCTGGATTTGAACCTAGGGGTATTTGGGTCTGGGTTTTGGTTTGACACAGTAGAGAAACGGGTCAGTTGTGAAATTTGGCTCTGGCTTGAGATGCGGCTCTGGATTTGAGTTTTCCTAATGTTTGGAAATTCAGAGGTGAGATTTGGTTCCAGCATATCTGTAAGGAAGATAACCACCCAGTACTTCTGGCCACAGAGACCCCCTGACAATGGTAATTGTTTTTATTTTTTTTATAAATTGTGCAGGGATCATTAGAATATGCAAGAAAACATAGTCTAATGGCAAAATCTTAGGATTATAATAAAAGAATAGCTCATGATATGGTTGCGTTTTATAGTCCTAGTGAAGGACCAGCAAAGGTCATCCTCCTTTTTTTGGCTTGGCCATTAGGGGCACAAAAACCATTTTCCACCGTGGGCGGCAGAAGGGCTAGGGCCACTTCTGACTTTGAACATCTCAATACTGAAGATACAATTGGCTTCATTTTACCTGTATTTGGAGACCTAATTCTGCTCCCACTGAACTCAACAAGAAGCAGGAGCAGGCTCTAGGAGCCTCTCTCAGGCCTCTGCCCAGCTTGCTGACATGCCCTTCGATGCCACAAGTTTGAGCACTTCTGAATTTAAGCTACTTGGGGCCTTGATTAAAGCCCATTGAAATCAATGGAAAGACTCCCACTGACTCCAATGGGCTTTGGATCAGGGCCTCTACATTTAGAAAGTATATACATTCAGAACAGAATGACACCTTTATGGACTGATTACACTTTCAGCTACTACAGACGCTCCCCAACTTACGCAAGCGTTCCGTTGCGGAACGCCTTGCGGAACTCGAATTATGCAAAAAAACCCACCCCTCCTATTTCTAGCTTACGGAACTTTTTCCGTAAGTACGGATTTGCGTAAGTCGGGTATGTGTAACCTGGGGGGCGTCTTGTATTATGTATTGATTTTACTGTCACATTCAGCATTGCTTACTTCCCCCATTATATCTGCTAAAATGATCAGCAACAGACTTTAAAAGTGACCCCCCAGTGAGCTGAATGGAGTACCTACCTCTCTGTCATTGTTTCAGGCCTTCTGTAGTCCCAGAAAAAAACAACACTGCATTCAATAACCTTCCAAATGTGATGTGAGTCTTTCTCCTCAGCCGAAAGGGCTAGAAACAAGGATGAAATCCTGGCCCCATTGAAATCAATGGGCATTTTGTCATTGACTTCAACGGGGCCAGGATTTCACCATGACTCTTTTTTGTAATGAAAGCGTAGATTGTGCCCAATTTGTATATGTCACTATGTCCATATCAGCACATCATGTGGGCTACATCTGTCTCATATGTTTGAAACCCCTGCTTTAGACCTTTGCAGCTACTAGGGCATGGTGGTGAACTTAAGTACAAAAAATAGGGTGCCTTGCTTGGCTTTATACTCTCGCACAGGAGAAATTTGGCCTATTTTAATGTTCAAATTGACAAATGTACCAAGCAATGGCGGGAGGGGAGAGAATCCTTTCTGGGCATAGCAATCCAGCAGTGTCCTCCCTACGTTTTTGAATATTCTTGCCATTTGGTATAAACTGGTGTTTTCCAAAAGCAAAAGTAATTCCTGGCAAATATATTTTACTTTCTTATTAACTAAAACAAAGACATTAAATAAATACATATAATTATAAATAAACATTAGTAATACTTTGCACTTCTTTAGCACCTTTCATCTAAACATCTCAAAGTGATTTACAAAGTTTGCGGGTTATCCCCATTTTACAGATGGATAAACTAAGGTATAGCAAGGCTATGAGCCTGATTCTGCTTCCTTTTAAATCAGTGCCATTCATTTCCATGGGAGCGGGATCTGGCTCTAAGGATACATCTACACAGCAGAAAAACAACAAAAAACAAAACCAAAAAACCCACATCAGTGAGTCTCAGAGCCCAGGCCAACTGACTTGGAGTCATGCTGCAGGGCTACAAATAGCAGTGTAGACTTGGGGCTTGGGCTCTAAAACCCAATGGGGGTAGGAGGGACTTGGACCCTGGGCTTCAGTGCAAACCTGAATGTCTACACTTGTATTTTTAGCCCCGCACCACAAGCCCTGCAAGCCCAAGTCAGCTGATCCAGGCCAGCCTCGGGGTTTTTACTGAAATGTAGATGTACCATAAGCAACTTGCCCAGTGTTACACAGCAAGTCAGTGGCAGAGCTGGGAATAAAATCCACGTCTCCTGACTCCTAATCCCCTTCTGTTTATACTAGACAATACTGTCTTTCTTCCCAGTGATCCAGAGGGAGCAAATACCATAAGCCTCGGTACAAACCACCTACCCTCTTCACTTCCAACACTGTTTTTTATACTATTTCCATGGTTCGTACCCTGGTAACATTGGTCTAACATTATCATTGCCATTGCCATTAACATAACATCCTCTTTAAAATCTTTTCAGATCTGCTGCCATCTCAAGAAAAACTTTGAAGAGCATTCTATTTAGAAATGAATCTGTGAAATGTAACACATATTTTGTCTTTCTGTTCCCCTGTATTTTGTATTATTAGAGCCATTTGTATGAACACAGGAGCTTTGCCATTCCTGCTGCTTCTCTCCCATCTGAAGTGATCATGTTCTGTTTGTGACATCATCACCATTTCCACAGCAACCTGATATGATGTCACAGACAGTCGAGTATACCTCCATTTATGAACAAACTACTGGTGCACCACGAACTTGTAAGAAACATGGCAAAGCTTTCTGTATTCGAGCAGCTATGTTTTCATAACAATAACTAAGGAGAAAATAAATGCAGAAAATCTGAGCAGAATGATCTCTCTATATAGAATGTTTTCCATGAGGTGTGAGAAGGTTTTTCACAGTCCCAGTTCCTTAACAGCAGGACTCATTCCACTGTACATGATATCTAGTTAGAGTTGTGAAAATGCCACATTCCTCTGCTGAGTGAATCCACAACAAAACATAATTTGTCCCCGAATGTGCATTTTTTTGTTTTACTTGTCATAAAGAACAGAACGTAATCATTAGCACCAATGGACAACTAAATGTTGTAATGTTTAGTAAGTCATGATTAGAGCTGGGTGAACTATTCACTGCAAATAATTTACTTGACAAATTTAATCCCCTTTTCTTTTGACAAATGATTGTAAACAGGCAGGTTTTCAGAAGTTTGTTCATTTTCTGACCTTATTCAATGAATGGTTTGTGCAAACATATTTCAATCCATGGATTGCTCATGAACCTTTCACCATAACTATCATATCAAGTAATAGTTATTCATAATTTGCTATTAAAGCTGTGTGATTGGTCACCTAAGTCACATGGTATTATTTCTGCTCCCTGATTGGATAACTCCATAACACATATAGAGCTTTCAAGAAGGCCACACAATCACTTCCTGTCAAATACCCCAGGAATGCATATTTGCAATAGTATTTGTGATAATTTCCCTTTCTGCAAACATTCTTGCAAAACAAAAATTCCTTTGTGCGATCATCTGCGGAAAGTGAATACCATCATCAAAGGGAACTCTGGGGGTTTATTTGAGTAAATGTTGATTTGCAGCATCTGCCCAGCTATGGTTATGATATCATCTTGCATGGTGTTAAAAAATCTTGTAATAGGAACCTCTTTCCACATTTACATCAGTAGTGGATAAAGTGCAAACCATGGGCCAAATGCACCCCAGGGAGTTCTATAATGGGGCCATCCTCATCTTTAGTATGTAAGCATGACACAACGAGAAGACAATTCCCAGCCTCTTGATCCAAGCTGAAAGTCACTCAAATTGAAATGAAGTGTTACATGATGAGATGTACTCTCTACTGTCTGCCCTTGTCATAATAAAGATGAGGGTGACTGCAATTTGCTCCATTTTAGGCAAATTTGAGGTGGGCCACAGGTTTCTGGGAAGTTGCCTTTGCAACCCACAGTTGAGTAAATTTGTGTGCTTCTGCTTTAATCCTTGAACATATCTTTGTGTAGAGTGTGGATGGGGTAACTTCTCTTCTGGAAGGGATAACAAAGGTCAGTCTCGTAAAATAACCCCCAAAACAAAAGCATTTTTAAAAAGGTATGTGAAATAGCTGCCACGGGGTTTGTGCTGAACCCTACTCCCCAAAAAATAATAAATCAGGGTTAAAAACTGAAATTTTCTAATATGAAAGAGCTTTCTAATGTGTTCTGATGGGCACCAGATGATGTATTCCCCACTTATCCACAGAAAGAAAAGACCTTTCATTTTTTATCCAGGCTGGCGTGCAATTCTGCCTCAGAGACCATCTTGTCAAAGGTGCGCATGTTTGTTTCCTCACGCACCTTTTCCCGGACGTGGAAGGATGCCCGGGCGACCGACCTGGCATTTTCCAGGACAGTCTTCTTCTCCTTGAAGATCTGCTCACTCCTCTCCAGCTTCCTCTCAATGGACAGGAGGATCTCCCTGCGTCGGAAGTCCTCGTACTGCTCCACCTTCTGCTTGTTTACCTTCTGCATCTTCTCCTTCTCCAGGCGGCTGAGGACCACCTTGCGCGCTTTCTGTTGGACCACCTCCTCAGCGACCTGGGCAGCATGGTGGAGTTTCCTCTCTGTCGCTTTGGCCAGGGCCTCCAAGTGTTCCTTCTGCTCTCTCTCCTTCTTCTCGGCTGCCAGCTTGGCTCTCTGGATTTGCATCTCCTCCCGCTTAGCTCTCTCCCTTAGCTCTTGGTTCCTCTTCTCAATTAGGTGCTCATAGTTCTCCTGGGCCTTGTGCAGGTTAACCTCCAGGGAGGCCTTTAGCATCTCTTTCTCCTCTGCCTCTTGCCTGACCAGTTCCTTGAACAGGGCCTCATGCTTCAGCTTCTCAGCTTGGTTGAGCAACTTCTTTTCCTTCTGCAGCTGCAGCTCCTTCTTCAGCTTCTTCTGTGAAGCAGTGGACAGCTTCTCCTGCAAAAGCTGTTCTTCTCGTTCCAGGAATTCTTTCTTGTCTTCTTCCTTTACCTTCAGGTTGTGCTCTTGATGGAGCTTCTTCTGCTTGTCTTCCAGGATGGTCCTCTCTAGCTTATCCCTTTTCATTCTGTCTTGCTTCTCCGCCTGCTCCCTCCACCTCTCTTCGTACATCAGGCACTGCTTCTGCTTCATCCTGGTAGTCTCCTTCTGTCCTTGGGTCAGCTTCCCACGGCGCTTCTCGACCTGGGACTCCCACATCTTTTGGCACTGCAGTAGAGCTCTCTGTTTCTCTTTCTCTTCCTGCTCCTTCTGCTGCTCGGCCCGTCGCCGCTGGCTGTCCCACTGGAGGTGGGCGGCATACCTCTGCTCATTCAGGATGTTCTCCTCCTGGTGCTTGGCTATCATCAGGGCAGCTATCTTCCTGTCCCTCTTGGGCACCTCCTTGAGACCTTTCTTCTTCTTCACCTCCTTGACGATCTTCTCCACTTTTTTTGTGGTCTGTGGGGAGTGGCTCAGATCCCCCAGGCTGAAGCTTCTGCCCACCAGAGAGTTCATGGCAGCCACTGCCCTAGTCTGAGGGGTCCCCTTGAGCCACTTGTCCCTAAAGCTTTCTCCGCTGTAGGACGAGGATGCCCCTGATTCAGAGGAGGTTTTGGTGGAGAACCCCTCCCTCCGTTTCTGCAGCGAGTCCAGGGAGTGGCTCTTGGTCTTAGGCCCAGTAGGAGCCCCTGCCCCTGGGGCTAGGGCGCAGCTCCCATTGGTGGTGGTTTTGAAGGAGATCCTGGCAGCTGGGGAGGAAGGGAGGCTGCTTAGCATGAGGGGAGTGAAAATCCTTCTCTTCTCCTCTCGGATAATCCTTTCTCTTTCCTCCCGGCACTGCTGCAGCTTCCTCTGCCGGTCCATCTCGTAGACCTCGTACAGGCCGGCTGCCACCCGCATGGACCTGCCCGGGGCCTCCCTCACCAGCTCACTCAGGGCCCTGGGCAGCAGCTCCACCGGCTTGACCGCACACCGGGCGCACGCTTCCAGGGAGCGGGGGCTGGTGAGCACGTAGCGGCTGCCCTCGGCCTCCGGACAGTCGAAGTTGAAGAGGTCCAAGTGCAGCAGCGGGGACTGCTCGCGGCGTCTCCCCGGCTCCCCCGCGGGCGTTGGCGGCGGCGGACGCGGGGCCCCTCCGCCAGCTGCTGCCGGGGACGCCCCATCTCCAGCTGCGCCGCCTGGGTCTGTGCATTTCTCCTCGCCCGGCTCCGCCGCCGGATCCACCATGCCTGACCCGTCGGAGACTCTGCAATGAAAAAAAAAACCCCACCAGGGGGATAAATCATACAATACCCCGGCCAGCCGATTTAATCCACGCGAGGATTAACCGGGCGCTGCTCTCACGCACACAAAACTGATGCAACCCTGAGCAAAGAGGCAAAGCGGGGAGGAAAACAGCCCGCGGTCACTGGAGGCACAGTACAGCCTGTGTGTGTGTGTTAATTTCATGCAGTAACATTTCTGCTGGAAGTTGCAAAGTCATAACTAGAGGCACATGAAAGGACCAGCCGCCCAGGCAGCATTTGGGATGCAGGCTTCTCAGACTGGGCGGGTTTATTTGTGCAGGGGCCAAAGGCACTGGCTTTTTAAGTGTCATGTCCCCTCTCAGACATTAACCTTGGGCAGAGGGGCAGTGAGAAGGAGGGTGACAAGCCAAGTTGCAGTTCGATTCTTATTCCTAAAGGAGGGGACGGCTGGCAAAGGCATTGTTGCACACCGGATCAAACAAACAGCGATACCAAGCAAACACCCTTTCGCTTTCTCAATGCAACATTTCCGCTCTCCTTATTCTGTGGCTGGAATGCAGCGCGAGGATACGGACCATGCAGAGCCTCTGCTAACAGACTGCCTGGCAAAAAGCCCCTGCTCTTTCTCCGCCGAGCACAGAAGCATCATCCTGCGACACGGAGAACATCCCTCCCCATGCATGTGAGCCTGTGACTCCAGGCTAATGCCCCTGGCTCCCCCCGCCCTAAAACAAACCCCAAACAAACGTGCATCAGCCTACGTCTGCAGACAACATGCTAAGGCTTAAACGTCCTCCCTGGATCATTCAGGATAGAGCGGAATTGTGGATGTCATTCACTTACGGCACTTTGCTTTGGCTCTTTCAGCGGCAGGCGGAACCGTGGGCTTTTGTCCCCTTGCCTCCTCCTCCTCTTCAGTAGATGTAACAAGCTGTTTAGTGCTGGATCAGGTTACTGGTGGTAACAGCGGCAGCTGCCCCTCCATGGCTCCCAGCAAACCCTGCGCAGACACTTCACCTAAACACAGGAGGAGGGTGCAATCTCAGGCATTCTATTAAGGAGACAGATAGTTACACCTCTGACCTCTCTTCTCTGCAGCCTCCAAAATCTTGCAATTTACCTCGGTCTCCTTCCCCAGCTATCCTTGGTAGAGGCTGGGATTTGATGAGAGCAAGGGTTGGCTGAAGAAGGGGAGGGGGGAACAAACCACCCACAACCCCAAACTGCTTCTCTTTTCATGACGGGGACAAAAAGAAGGGACAATGAATAAATGATGAGCAGTTCTCCAAGTAGCACTAGGGTCATCCTGTCTGGCAGTTGTAGTATGGCGTGGTTTAGGTGAAGGAGGTGACTAATTTCACGAGCAAATTTATTAGCTTCCCAGGGTTTCCCCTCCCTTTCTTTTTTTTTTTTTTAACTCTTTAGAATGCTCTGAAATAAAAGGCCCAGGTGAATTCTTACTGGAGAGAGTCATTGTGGTGTAAAGCAACAGCTGCTATCCTGCCAATTCCATAAAGTGTATGTGTGTATGTTTACCTATGAATGTTTTTTTTAATCATATTACTGTAGTGCATACAGGCCCCAGTGGAGGTCTGGGCCCCATTATGCCAAGCTCTGTATATATACTTAAAAAAAGACAGTCCCCACCCCCAAGATTTTATAGACTATATAGAAAAGACAAAAGAAAGTGTGGAGGAAAGGCGGGACTATTAACCTCATTTTACAGATGGGGAACTGAGACACACGGATATTAAGTGACTTGCCCAAGGTCCCAAAGGGAATATGTGGCAAAGCTGGAAATTAAACCAACATCTTCTGAGTCCCAGTCCAGTGCCTTGACCACAAGACCTTACTTCCCCTACTAAGAATGTTATCTACTGTTCCTTTTATTCCATTTTTGCTTACTGGGGAGAGAATTGAGGGGAAATAGCTCACTATGTAAATATATTGTAATAAATCTGAAGCCTCCTTGGACTTAATGGTTATCACTATTCAACTTGTCTTGGCTTCACTGTCACCTCTGAGATAAAGAGCTTCCTGCTATAAAAGCACAGTTGAATGTATGGGGAATCTCTGCTAGCTGTCTGACACAGCTAAGCAGTTCTGATTCTATCCAATAGAGGGGCAGTAGTAAACATACTAGCCAGTTCATTACAACCCTTAATGCTGTTAATCAACTTGCCATTTAATTGATACATTTACAGTTTAGGGTTACTTGAAGAACATGTGACCAGTCAAATGACCTCTAGGACAGCCCCAATTTAAGGGTAAAGTGTAGCTTAAGGGTCAAATGTGGCCCACAAAGGCCTAAAATGCAGTCTGGGACTGCCCTCTCCTTGTAACAGCAAGGTAAGGACTAGTGACCAACTGCAGGTTGTTATTGCTGGTGCACTCAGATAACAAACACTTTTGACCTGTCTGCTTAGGGATTTCTAGCACACCCACACCAGTATACCAAGTAGGTAGGTGGCAAACTCTACCAACAAACAATACTGATTTATCAAATCTAATGGATTTATCATCAGAGTATCTAGGTGACAATTGTAAAGATCAGCAACCAGATTCACACGTAAATTGTGAATTCTTTAGGACACGACAGTGTGCTCAATGCCTCGCACAGTGAGGGTTGGGCCTGTAGGTGCTACCATAATGCAAATAACTAGTAAAACTAATAATAATAGATGCATTGTTACTGCTTAACTAGGACTATATTATCTGCCTCATGAAAAATATTAGAGTTGCATGTGTTTGTGTTTTGATATAAATCTTATGTACATTGATATGCAAATTTATACATGGATCTTTGAAAGTTGCTATTGCAACCTTCACTGTTGCCTAGTTTGGGCCTTGTTCCTTCTGGTTTACTTATGGACCTGCTTTACACAAGGAATACTAAAAGCAGCCTTCTGTGTCTTTATGAGGTATTAGTATGCACAGTCTGCTCACAGGGCCATATTAATCTCTCTCTAGAGGACTAATGGAGACCAGAGGCTGAATGTCCAAGGGCACTCTGGAGGTATTGAAGAGACACATTTCTGTCACTGATCCTTTTTATTTACAGTATATATTTATGTATTTACAGAATCATGGGGCCTATTTCTCTTTTGCCCTGCACCTTGTGTAGTCATTTATACACTAATCCAAAGTGGAGATAAAATGCTACTAATCTGCTTTGGTAGCATTTTACAGCACTTTTGCACTGGGGTAAATCACAGCTCAAGGTGCTGGGAAATGCAGAATCTGGCCCAGAGAAGCTAGCGTTGGAAAAAGATGTATTAACACAGCTAGTCCATCTTCCTGCCAGTGTACAGCTGCTCTGTATTGCACATTTATTAGCATTTTGTCCAGTCTAATTTTACATTTGCCAGTGCATGGGACTTCAACCATTTCCCTTAGGAAACCATTCCACAGAGATCTCATTGTCAGGATGTTTTCCATTATATTCAGCTTAAATTTTCCCTTTCTTAATTTGTGGTCACTCGTCTTAAATAAGTGCCCCTGTCCCTTTTTATTATGCTCAAATCAGTCCTCCCTTCTTTTGTGTTTACACTTTTCCAATGTTTGTAAATTGTTTTCATGTTCCCTTTTAGTTGGCCCTTAGCCAAGCTAACCATGTTATCCTCATAAATCAATCCCTCCAGCCTAGGATGACCAGACAGCAAGTGTGAAAAATCGGGACGAGGGTAATGGGGGTGGTAATAGGAGCCTATAAAAGAAAAAGACCCAAAAATTGGGACTGTCCCTATAAAATTGGGACATCTGGTCACCTTACCCCAGCCCCACAATCGTCTATCAGCTTTTTCTCTGAACTCTCTCTAATTTGTCAATATCTTTCTGATAATTAGATGCCCAGAACTGAACATGGTATCCCATGTGCTGTCACACCAGAGCTACCTGGAAAAGGACTGTTACCTCCCTGCTTTGTGGCATGGTGCCTCTGAATATACAACCCGCGGTTGCATTGGCCTTTTTCTCTCCAACATCACCCTGCAACTCAGATCTCATTTGCTATGACTCCTACATTTTCTTTCAACGTTACTGCCTCTCAGGTCTCTCCCTTCCAGTGAATATTTGGTTTATGGTTATTTCCCCATCAATGTAATTCCTTACATTTTCCAAGCTGAATCACGTCTCAGTATTGTCTGGATTTTCTAGTCTCTCTGGGTACTGACTGGGGTTCACAAATCCTCCCATCTTATGCCCAGACTATTCCTGTCCCTTTCATGGGTATGTGGGGAAGGTAGAAGGAGCCCCCTTGCCTCCTTATGCAGGGTGTAATATGATTGCACTCCCTGCAGTCTTCTTATATCCCCACAGGGACCAGCCACCACAAAGGGGGAAGGCAGTACACAGAGTCATTCCCCCATCCCTGCCTAGGCCAGGAGAACATCCTGCGTCTTCCTAAGGGGTAGTAGAGTGTGCACAATCCAGCATAATCCCTCCTAGAGCTTCCCACAGGGTGATACAGCTGCACCCCACTCCAAGATGGCCTATCAAACACAATCAAGCGCTGTGTATCATAGGCAAGTTTGATTAAAATGGTGCTTGCTCCCTTTTCTAGATCTTTAAGAAGATATTAAATAAGACAGGACCTCAGGCCTATCCCTGTGATACCCCCGCGCACACACAGACACACACACACCTTCTTCCAGTTCAATCAGTTACTGCATCTCATAACCCTTTGTTTACTGTTGTGCTGTCAGTTTTCAGTCCACGTAACGGTGATCATAGCCAAGCTGCTTTGAGCTAACGTTGAGAGTGAGATTCAGTCAGACACCCTATATAATGCTTTTTCAGTCACAGAGGAGGGAAACTCCGCACACGAGAACATTGGTGTAGCCAGACTACACAAAGAAAAGGGATGAGCTGCCAGGTTCCAGTTGGAGAGAATTTGGCAATTGTGTCTCCTTTTATTTACTCCTTTGGTTTGCCCTTTGTTTTTCTCTCTTACCACTTTACATTCTGTCTCCAGTCCTGGCCATCTTTTGCGTCCTCACTCAATGCTGGCAGTCTTGTGGCTGCTCACTACCAGTACACACTTCTCCCTCAGAAAGCCATGCACCGAGCTGGTTGGTCCCTTTTCCCTCCTCCCCCATGTACCTTCCCCTTTGTCTGTTTCTCAGTCCCCGGGGCCTAGTTTGCCTATTCAGAAAGAGTCCATGTTATTGTGTCTGCAGGCCATGCCTGACTTCAAAGGGAAATTGACCAGCTGTGGTAACTGCTCTGTTCCCCTGCACTCACAGCAGAGCGACTCCACATAGCAAGCATAAACTGCCTGTGACTAGGGCTCAAGGGGGCTGACATCATAGGTGCTGGAACTAGGGGTGCTGCTGCATCCCCTGGCTTGAAGTGGTTTCCATTATATACAGAGTTTACAATTTGCTTCAATGGCTCTCAGCACCCCCTTATAAAAATACGTCCGGCACCCCGACGTGTTACTGGAAAATGTTGTTTTAAACAAATGACCGCTCCTCCACAGTGCTTGCAGCTGTAACACAGCAGTATTGTATTACTGCTTGAGAACCTGAATGTGAAATGAATAAGAGACAGTGAAAATGACCAGTCTGGTTGTACTGCCCAAAGTGAGTGAAATGCAACATGTAACCAAGCAGAATAAACAGTGTGATGGAGATTAGAGTTGAAGATTATTTTAGGTTTCAGTAATCTAAAGTGTTGTTTATAAAACAAGAGAAGAGAATTTTTTTTCTATATGATTTTAACTTGATTGTTCCATTGATTTTTTCCCATTAAAGGGACACCAAGAACCTATGGAGCTTTTGAAATTTTGAGAGGTCACAACTTCCCTGCCTTCCTCCTCTGCATCATAGTTGTGAGGAACAGTACTAAAACTGCATTTTGAGGAGGAGTCCCCAGATAACAAGCCAGAATCCTTAGCCAGCGTCTTCGAATATTAACCTGCTCCTGAACAAGCAATGTATGATGTAGTATGTTAACCTGTAGTGTAACTTTGCCTTATTAAAAATAAATCATCCCCCCATCACACACATTTTCCAGGAATGTAATCTACGGTTTCAGCCTAACGCAGAGTTCTTTCATTTATGGATTCTAATTGCTCTGTCCTAGTAATCCCCACCCCATTCGGCTGTGTGCAGTTCCTCAGGTGTGCGGGGAAGAGGGCAGATACACACCTCTGTTCTCATGTCGGAGTGAGGTGTAGCAGTGGGAGAGGGGGCTGATGACAATATAGGGCCTGATTCTTCACTGCTTTGTAGTGTGTGTCGTCACTTCCATTTGTGTGCGGTGAGTATAAAATGCATGTAAACATGACCGTATCACACGGGTAGCATTTTGCATAGCTGTAGA